TCTCTCCTTTTTAATTCTATCAGTTAATATTAGCAGATACTAGTCTTGCTTATGTGATCCCTTTGACTCTTAATCCTATCATTATGATCAATTGTGAACTGAAATTGATCACTTTGACTAGTGACATGGCATTGGTACATGCCACCTTGATGGGATTGAATTGGAATCCCCTGGCACGTTTTTAACTCTACCATTTGGCAAGTCTGATTGTGCATGTCCCAGATTGTACATCTCCTCCTCTCTTATTCGCACTCTTATATTTAACAAGGACCACTTTTCAGTTAAAGTTAACCCAAGAATAATTGTGTGTTAATTAAAGAGTTCAACCAAAGTATTAAGTAGAACAAAAAAGTACTAAAAGGGATAAAGTATTAAGTTGTTCATCAATAGTTAGGAAAAGGGGTGATCAAGTCACTGTTTCTCAAAGTGTCTGTTTCACTTCAACAGGCTTCCTTTTAGGTGCTTGGTTAGTTGTCACAGATCAGGGAGAACATATGATATTTGTCCCTTTGGGACTTGCTTAATTCACTCAGCATGATGTTTTCCAGATTCCTCCATTTTGTTGCAAATGACCAGATTTCATTGTTTTTGACTGCTATGTAGTATTCTATAGAGTACATGTCCCATAATTTCTTTCCAGTCTACTGTTGATGGACATTTGGGTTGATTCCAGGTCTTAGCTATTGTGAATTGAGCTGCAATAAACATTATGGTGCAGACATCTTTATTATTTGCCAATTTAATTTCCTTTGAGTAAATTCCAAGGAGTGGGATGGCTGGGTTGAATGGTAGGGTTATTCAGGATTCTGAGGAATCTCCAGGCTGACTTCCATAGTGGATTGACCAGTTTGCATTCCCACCAACAGTGGGTTAGTGTCCCTTTTTCCCCACATCCTCCAGCATCTGTTGTTGGTAGATTTCTGTATGTGAGCCATTCTAACCAGGGTGAGGTGAAACCTCTAAGGTCTAATTGATAGGCAAAGATTGTGTTTATAGGAGCTTTTTTTCTAAGTTTTTAAAAAAAATTATTTGAAAGTATTGTATATAGAGGAGAGACCCAGAGAGATCTCCCTTCTGCTTGTTCACATCACAGATGGCTGCATTGAGCAGGGCCAGGAAAGAATGAGGTCAGGAACCAAGATCTTCACCTGGATCTCCCACATTGGTAGCATTTGCCCAAGTATTTGGATCATCTTCCATTGCTTTTCTCAGGCCATCAGCAGGAAGCTAGATCAAAAGCAGAAGAGCCAGAACATGAACCAGTGCTCATATGGGGTGCTTGTATTGCAGACGGCAGGTTTACTTGCTATGTGACAATGCTGGCCCTGTTTTATGGGAACTTCGAAATGAAATTTTGAAGTTGTATGCATTGTAGTTTGCATGTAATTCAACTTTCTGCCATACTTACTGATATATCAGCATTTGATGTAGGACAAATCAGAAAACACAATGGCTTAACAAATAGCCATTTGATTTGCAGTTCTGACTCTGTGTTTTGGGCTGTACTCAGCTGGGCAGTTCCTATGATCAGTCCAGGAGCAGAAATGAAGTTCAGTCATCTGGGGAACTGATTGAGGCTTCACTTAAGTGTCTGGGGTTTGTGGTGAATCTTGGCTACATATTATCTCTTTTTTTCTTTTTTTGACAGGCAGAGTTAGTGAGAGAGAGAGACAGAGAGAAATGCCTTCCTTCCATTGGTTCACCCCCCAAATGGCTGCTATGGCCAGTATGCTATGCTGATCCAAAGCTAGGAGACAGGCACTTCCTCCTGGTCTCCCATGTGGGTGCAGGGCCCAAGCACTTGGGCCATCCTCCACTGCCTTCCCAGGCCACAGCCGAGAACTGGAGTGGAATAGGAGCAACTGGGTCAGAACCAGCACCCCAACTGAGACTGTCACCCGGAATACCAGTGCCACGGGCAGAGGATTAACCTAGTGAGCCACGGCGCCAGCCTACATACTATCTCTTCAACAGGCAGGCCCCAGGGTTTTTCAGAAGATAACTGTCAGAACAAGAAAATCTGAGAAGGCAAATACTTTACAAATTGTCTATTTCTGGGGCTGGTTCTGTGACATAGCAAGTAAAGACACTGCCTGCAGTGCCAGCATCTCATATGGGTGTCAGTTGATGACTCGGCTGCTCCACTTCTGATCCAGCTCTTTGCTACAGCCTGGGAAAACAGTAGAAGTGGCCCAAGTCCTTTGGCCTCTGCTCCCTTGTGGGAGACCTGAAAGAAGCTCCTGGTTCATATCTTTGGATCTACACAGCTCCAGCCATTGCAGCCATCTGGGGAGTGAACCTGCAGTTTGAAGACCTCTCTTTATTCCTCCTTCTCTCTCTCTCTCTTTTCTCTGCCTCTCCTTCTCTCTTTGTGTAACTCTTTCATATAAATAAATATTTTAACAAATTGTCTATTTCTATCACATTTACTGGTATCTCATGGGGTAAATCAATTGAAATGGTGAAATTCAGGGTCTTTTTCAAAAAGATTTATTTATTCATTTGAAAGAGTTACACACAGAGAGAGGGAGAGGCAGAGAGAGATAGAGAGCTCTTCCATCTGCTGGTTCACTCCCCAGTTGGCTGCAATGGCCAGAGTTGTGCCAATCCAAAGCCAGGGTCCAGGAGATTCTTCTGGGTCTTCCACATGGGTACAGGGGCCCAAGGACTTGGGCCATCTTCTACTGCTTTCCCAGGCCATAGCAGAAAGCTGGATCAGAAGTGGGGCAGCTGGGAATCAAACCAGTGCCTATGTGGATGCCAGTCTACAGGTGGCAGTTTTACCCGCTAGGCCACAGTGCCAGCCCCAATCCAGGGTTTTGTGAAGGGATGAATACAGGGAAAGGTGCTACTTGGAATCATTACTGGTAAAGTGCACTGCATTAAATATACATTATGTGTATTGTTAACTTTCTTTAGTATAAACTTTAATAACATAATGTTTATCTCTGATAACCTTATCCATTTGAACACTCAACTTTTCTTTTTCCTTTTACATTATATTTTACAAAATTTGTAGATAATGCTTTCGTTAAACCAATGATAACTTCTGTTTAATCTCTGCCACTTAATATAGGTGCATTTTCCTATGTATTTCTATTTTTAGAGGTTTATTCCTCCACAGTGAAGCTGATGTTTTCTTGGTTAATGTATTTATTATTCTTTATTCATTCTATTATATCCTTTTTTCCCACTGTTCAGTGCAGAAGGAAACCAGAGTTTTTTTTTTTTTTTAAGATTTCATTTATTTATTGAAAGAGTTGCAGAGAGAGTCTTCTATCTGCTGGCTCACCCTCCAAATTACTGCAAAGGCCAGAGCTCAGCCGATCCAAAGCCAAGACCCAAGAGCTTCTGGGTCTCCCATGCAGGTGCAGTGGCCCAGGGACTTGGACCATGTTCCACTGCTTTCTCAGGACATAGCAGAAAGCTAGATTGTATGTTGAGCAGGCAGGACTTGAACCAGACCCATATGGAATGCTGGCACTGAAGGCAGCAGCTTTACCCATTATGCCACAGCGTTGGCCTCCCGAGTTTTCTTTGAACTCCTGCCATTCACCTTCTCTCCCAGGTATGATTCTGGGTCCTCCACATGTTTCTAAGAGGAAAGAAAATTAATATATCACCTGTAAGTGTTTTTTTTTTTTAATTATTCCCCAGCTTGTCAGTACTCATTTTAGGTGTTTAATGCTAGTTTATATTTATTTTTTTAGATTTTTTTTTATTATTTGAAAGTCAGAGTTACAGAGAGGCAGAGGGGGAGAGAGAGAGTCTTCCATCTGCTGGTGCACTCCCCAGTTTGCCACAATGGCCGAAGTTGCACTGGTCCAAAGCTAGAAGTGAAGAGCTTCTTCTGGGTCTCCCACATGGTTCAGGGGCCCAAGGACTTAGGCCATCTCCTACTGAATCCCCAGGCCATAGCATAGAGCTGGATTGGAAGTGAAGCCACTGGGACTTGAACTGGCACCAATATGGGATGCCAGCACTGAAGGCAGTGCTTTACCTGCTAGCCACAGTGCCAGTCCCAGTATACTAGTTAATTAAAATGGAAAATATGGGGCTGGCTCTGTGGCTCAGTGGGTTAATGCCCTGGTCTAAAGCATCGACTTCCCATATAGGCACCGGTTTGAGACCCGGCTGCTCCACTTCTGCTCCAGCTCTCTACTATGGCCTGGGAAAGCAGTGGAAGATGGCCCAGGTCCTTGGGCCCCTGCACCCATGTGGGAGACCCAGAAGAAGCTCCTGGTTCCTGGCTTCAGATTGGTGCAGTTCCAGCCATTGCAGCCAACTGGGGACTGAACCAGCAGATGGAAGACCTCTCTCTCTCTCTGCCTCTCCTCTCTCTGTGTATCTCTGACTTTCAAATAAATAAATAAATCTTTACAAAATTTTAAAATAGAAAAATAAACATAAAATTTGTTATCACAGAATATACAGAAATGAATTATGAATTTGGCATGATTATGAAACATTACTGTCATCTATAATAATGCAGTTTGGTCTCTTGTCTTTCTGTTGCTATAGCAAATATATATTTGTTACATGAATTGAGTTGAAACTAAGCACAATATGCTACATTTTTGGGGTCATGTCTGAAACATTCTACACATAGATGATGTACTGAACAGTGTTTTAGTGCTACCTATGAAGTAAACACTTAGCATTCTGCAAGAGGAAGAGTTACCTAGTGCTGGAACACAAATCAGTTAAGTTTGTTTTCAAATTGTTAGAGTAATGGAGTTCTTAATACCTTTGAGAAGTTGAATTGGATTCTGGAATAGGATAAGGAATGTGTGGAGAAAAGAATCTACTGGAGGCTCATTTATTTTTTTAAGATTATTTATTTGAAAGGTGGACTTGCAGAGATTGGGAGAGACAGGGAGACAAAAGGTGATATATTCTATCTACTGTTTCATTCCCCAAATGCCCACAATGGCTGGGACTGGGCCAGGCCAAAGCCAGGAGCCTGGGACTCCATGGGTCTCCCACATTGAATACTCTCAGGCCATTTTCACTGCTCTTTCAATCAGGTTAGCAGGGAACTAGATTGGAAGTGGAGCAGCAAGGACTCAAGTCCTCTGTTTACATGGGATGCCAGCATTGATGGTGGAGGCTTAGCCTGCTGGATCACAATTCTGGTGACTATTGCAGGTTCTGAAACAAATCTCTAAGCATTTTTCTCAGTGAGTCACAAATGCAGATTGTACTGCAGACATTCCCAGGTTCTCTTTTTGGGCAAATAATTCCATTGCTTTCATTTAATTATGTATAATGTCATTTCAAATGTTTATCATTTGAATGTTTTGGGCAAGTATTTCCATTGCTTTCACTTTAATTAGGTATAATGTTATTTCAATTGTTTATCACTAGAATAATCATAGACAAGGGCAAAAGCTAATTTGTATTCTTTGTCTTACCTGTATTTTCTCTCTTACTTAAAAATATTTATTAGCTTGATAGAGAAAAAAGTTGATGGACTGAGAGATAGAGAGCTTTGACACATTAATTCACTTCCTAGATAACCATACCAAACAGGTGGGGCAGGACTGAAGCCAGGATTGAGGAATGGAATCTAGGCCTCCTTCATTGGTGACATCACCATTGCTTCCCCAGGTTTGCATTATCTGGGAGCTAGAAACTAGAGCTGGCATTGGAAATCACAGACACTCTGAGGTGGCATCATAAACAACACTAAGCTAAATGTCTGCCCTGTCTTTTAATATATTTTTCCTCTGACATATTGGAAATGATATGCATGGTGTTTTCCTGGAAATTGTTTTCTGTTCATTCCCATCGTAGTTTCACTGATGGTTTCTTGCCTTTTTTCTCAATGCTTCTACATACTTCTCCTTAACATTGCCCAGTCAAGAGTCAGTATTGCCCCTCTTCTAGCCTGCTGTGCAATTCCCCTTGACAGATGTGGCCTTTGTGATTTGAACCTCCTGTTTCCCTCCAGCTTGGGCATGTCTCACAGCCTGTAGATCATGGGTTTGACTCTGTTGAATGCTCCGTGTGGCTTTCTAAACACTCCACAAGTCTAATGTGAAACCATATCCTTCCTTTTTTCCTTCATATCCATACACAACTGTCAGTGTTTATTTTGTGACAGAGTTAACATGTTGACTGGAAGTGTATTATTATAGGTGATGACAGCATTTGAAGACCTGGCTGTGTACTTTACATGGGAAGAATGGCAGAAAATGAACAATGCTCAGAAAATCCTGTACAGAGATGTGATGCTGGAGACCTACAGCAGCCTGTTCTCCTTGGGTGAGTGACACCCATCACATGCCCAGTGATAACATTTTCTTGCTATTTGACAAATAAGGGAACACTTTATAATGTTTAATATTGGGCAGGATTAGAATTGAGTCCATGAATAATCTGAATATCTACCATCTAACAAAAGATTCAAATTGGAACATTTGTTGCATAGCTCCTGAACCAAGCTGTAGTCCTTTAAATAACCCAAGATAGTGATTTTACAAAGTCTTACTTTGTTTCCATTAATAGGGCACTGCATTACCAAACCTGACTTGATCTTCAAGTTGGAGCGAGGAGAAGAGCCATGGATGGTGGATGAATGCTTGAATCTGAGCCTTTCAGGTCAGTCTGCACATAAGACAGGGAGGCCAAGGCAGAAAGTGTGCAGATGTTGACTGGTGTTCTTTCCATGAATTTTCTCAAGCCTTACTCCTGATGACAGCTGCTTTTGTGCATCAGACACAGGCATTTAGAGATACCAATATCTTTCTAACTTTTGTTCTTAGTGAAGATGTTCTTTGATTAAAAAAAAAATCCAGTCATTTTCTGATGTTACTAAGGCTTTTATCTAGGTTTGATACATTCCCCAATTCTAACTTGTCCTTCTCTACACTTTCATACCTTTTCCTTCATGCACTTATTAGTTCCTTCAGTGCTTGTTAATTAGGCAACATACAGAAACTTTTTTTTTTAAGATTAATTTTTTTTTTTTTGACAGGCAGAGTGGACAGTGAGAGAAAGAGACAGAGAGAAAGGTCTTCCTTTTGCCATTGGTTCACCCTCCAATGGCCACCATGGCCGTGTGCTGTGGCTGGCACACCTGCTGATCCAAAGCCAGGAGCCAGGTGCTTCTCCTGGTCTCCCATGTGGTGCAGGGCCCAAGGACCTGGGCCATCCTCCACTGTACTCCTGGGCCACAGCAGAGAGCTGGCCTGGAAGAGGGGTGACCGGGACAAAATCTGGCACCCCGACCAGGACTAGAACCTGGTGTGCCAGTGCTGTAGGCAGAGGATTAGCCTATTGAGCTGCCACACCAGCCTGTTTCTGTTTTTTTTTTTTTTTTTAAGATTTATTTATTTATTTGAAAGTCAGAGAGAGAGAAGAAGGAGAGGCTGAGAGAGAGGTCTTCCATCCACTGGTTCACTTCCCAACTGGCTGTCATGGCTGGAGCTGTACTGATCTGAAGCTAGGAGCCAGGAGCTTCTTCCAGGTCTCCCATATGGGTACAGGGGTCCAAGGACTTGGGCCATCTTCTACTGCTTTCCCAGGCCATAGCAGAGTGCTGGATCAGAAGTGGAGCAGCTAGGACTTAAACTGGTGCCCATAAGTGATGTTGGCACTGCAGGTGGTGGCTTTACCTGCTATGCCACAATGCCAGCCCCCAGAAACTTATTTCTAACTCATTGCTCAGATTGCGTTCCCACTCATGATTTTGCCCAGGCATAGAACTTGCTCAGGACTGAATCAATAAATGTGAACTCTCTCTTTCTTAGTCTCTTTCTTTTTTTTCCTCTGTGCCTCTCAAATAAATAAAAATTATAGTCTGTTGGAAACATTTGAGGAGTGAGCCTACAGTTGGCAAACCTCTGTTTCAGTCTGTCTTTATCTCTCATTCTGTCTCTCTGACTCTCAAGTAAGTAAATAAGAAATGCTAAAATGGTCATGTGGCTGGTGCTGTGGCGCAGTGAATTAACACCCTAGCCTGAAGCACCAGCATCCCATATGGGCACCAGTTTGGGACCCAGTTGCTCCACTTCTGATCTAGCTCTTGGCTATGGCCTGGGAAAGCAGTAGAGATGGTCCAAGTCCTTGGTCCCCTGCACCTGAGGGAGACCCAGAAGCAGCTCCTGGCTCCTGGCTTCAGATCAGCACAGTTCTGGCCATTGTGGCCAACTGGGGAGTGAACCATTGGTTGGAAGACCTTACTCTCTTTGCCTCTCCTCTCTCTGTGTAACTCTGACTTTCAAATAAATAAATCTTTAAAAAAAAAGATGGTCATGAGTAAGCCTCTGTGCTGTGACATCAGAAATTATGAAGCTAGGAATGACACTGTGGTGCAGTGTGTTAAAGCTCCAGCCTGCAACACTAGCATTGCATATTGGTGCCAGTTCAAGTCCCAGCTGTCCCTTCTAATCCAGCTCTCTGCTAATGCACCTGAGAAAAGAGCAGAGGTTGGCCCAAGTACTTGGCCCCCTGTATCCATGTGGGAGACAAGAAAGACACTCCTGGCTCCTAACTTCATTTTGGCCCAGCATTGGTTGTTGTGCCCATATGGGGAGTGAACCAGCAGATGGAAGACTTCTCTCTGTCTCTCTCTCTATAATTCTAGCTTTCAAATAAATAAAGTAAATCTTTGAAAAAAGAAATCCTAAACTAAGCATAAGAACTTACATAAAACATGAAAATAAGTGATCCTAGACTCACCAAGAAAGTAATGAGATTTTGAGACCCAAGGTCAAGTAGCCTCGTGGGGTTATGTTGAGTGGCTCAGATTTCTTTAAGGGTGGAGTTTGAAGTATGATTTTCTCTTATTTTCAGTATCATTGAAAATAAGCAAATAAAAAGTAAGAAAAACATAGGAAATGAAGCTTTCAGTGAAAATAGGAGGCAACTGATCAAATGCCTCCAGAAATTCAAATTATCACACAGGAATGTTTCTAGAAAGAATTTAGAGGAGGTAACCAGCACTGATGATTTCAGAATGAGTTAGAAACACTTTTCAAAGAAGATGAGCAATCCCGGTTTGCAGAAACAAATTCTTCAAACTGATTGGGAGTGTTTAACTAAAGTGGTATATTGGGAATTTTCTGTACCTGTTGTACTTCTGAGAAGCTGAAGGTGTTGGGTGTCCTTAGGAATTTGGGGAAGCTGTCATAGAGTAGAGACAAAGTAGTTTTTCATTTGAAAAATCCCACAAATGATGTTTACCTAGGAAGACTGAGCATGAGACACTCATAGATTCAAATCCTACTCCTTAAATGTTGTCCTGCTTAAAGTACAGGCACATTTCACTCTTCTCCACCTGCAAGTAAATGATCAGTAAAACTTTTTCATGTTTATGGTTGAGATATCAGAGAAGCAAAAAGCACACAATTTTTATAAAAATAAACTGGAAAAAAGGACAGGGAAAAAATGGTTGCTAGGTAGTGGGTGAATATTTTTATTAAATATTTGCCCATTCTTTAAAATATTTTATAGTTATTTCATCTTTGAAAGGCAGAGTGATAGTGAGAGAAGAGAGAGAGAAAGAGGTCCTCTATTAGCTCACTTCCCAGATGCCTGCAACACTTAGGTCTAACTAGTCTGAAGCCAAAACTCTAGAATCCCTCTAGTCTTCCCTGGTTTCTCACAGGTTCCCAGGCACATGAACCATTATCTGCTTCCTTCCAGTTTACATAGGCAGAGAGCTGTACTGAAAGCAGAGTAGCCAGGGCTCAAACTGACACTGTTTTGAGATGCAGGCATCCCACACATCATAGCACAAAAGTCATTCTACCATCCTTGACAAATTCCCATAGTAAAAAGGATCATGTTTGAACATTGGGAAACCTCATGGTATATTAATGTATTAAGGAGAAAAACCATATAATGGTCACAAATAAGTACCTCATACTGATTTTGTGAACATCTTATGCCACTTGGATAACAAGTAACTTCATTCCCTTTACATGAGTATGCCAGGAGAAACAGTTACATGTGATTCAGTGACATGATTGCTTTTTTCTCATTTCAGTGGTCATGAAAAGGGATGACCTGATTAGGATCAACCAGGAAAGTCAGGACAAAAATCTGAATCAGGATTTTATGAAAAATAACAAGACATCAGCTCTCAAGAGAATTGAATTAAGAAAACACTTAGTTTAAATTCAAGCCATGTTCCAACACTGATTATTAAAAAGGGAATCTATTCAGGATTGAAGCCTGAGGAATGCAATAAATGTCACACTGTGTATCCCCCCAGTGGGCCTGATCAACTACAGGCTGGAGAGAAATTTGATAACACTAAGATACCTGGAAAATCTCTCCAGTTCTGTGAGCCTCTTAGCCAGCTTGACAATATTCACATCATGAAGCAGCCATTTGGACCCACTGGACAAGCAAAAGTCTTCACAAGAAAGATGTTCTGTAAATCTGAGAGGGTTCATATGGCAGAAAACTGTAATAAGTCAACTGTCACTTTTGGAAAAGCAACGCAAATAGAAAAAGCTATCCATGAAAATTCTAGCCTCAATATGCATCAACAAACTCACACAAGAAAGAAATTTTATAAGTACATTATGTATGTTGAACCTGTCATTCACCAGTCACATCTTGCAATAAACCAGAACTAAATACAAGGGAAAAACTTTACACATGTAAACCTTGTGGAAAATCACTCAGTTTTAATTCACCTTCTGAATGTAATGACTGTGGAAAAGCCTTTAGACAAAATTCAGTCCTCAGGAAACATCAGCAAATTCACACAGGGGAGAAACCTCATGAATGTAGTGACTGTAGAAAGCCTTTACACAAAGTCATACCTCATAAACCATCAGCGAATTCACACAGAGAGAAACTTTATAAATGCCTTGAATGTGGAAAAGGCTTTTGTGGAAGTCAGACCTCATATACACCAGAATTCACACAGGGGAGAAACCTCATAAATGTAATGACTGTGGAAAAGCCTTTGGACGAAGTCACCCTCCTCATACACAGCGAATTCACACAGGGGAGAAACCTCATAAATGTAATGACTGTGGAAAAGCCTTTGGACAAGTCAACCTCATCATACACCAGCGAATTCACACAGGGAGAAACCTCATAAATGTAATGACTGTGGAAAAGCCTTTGGACAAAAGTCACCTCATAACATCAGCGAATTCACACAGGGGAGAAACCTCATAAATGTAATGACTGTGGAAAAGCCTTTGGACAAACAGCCTCTCAACCCACAATTCACACAGGGGAGAAACCTCATAAATGTAATGACTGTGGAAAAGCCTTTGGACAAAGTCACCCTATCATACACCAGCGAATTCACACAGGGGAGAAACCTCATAAATGTAATGACTGTGGAAAAGCCTTTGGACAAAGTCAACCTCATCATACACCAGCGAATTCACACAGGGGAGAAACCTCATAAATGTAATGACTGTGGAAAAGCCTTTGGACAAATCAGCCTCTCACACAGCAATTCACACAGGGAGAAACCTCATAAATGTAATGACTGTGGAAAAGCCTTTGGACGAAAGCAGACCTCATCATACACCAGCGAATTCACACAGGGGAGAAACCTCATAAATGTAATGACTGTGGAAAAGCCTTTGGACAAAGTCACACCTCATCATACACCAGAAATTCACACAGGGGAGAAACCTCATAAATGTAATGACTGTGGAAAAGCCTTTGGACACAAGTCAGGCCTCAGGAAACATCAGCAATTCACACAGGGGAAACCTCATAATGTAATGACTGTGGAAAAGCCTTTGGACAAAACACCTCATCATCACCAGCAAATTCACACAGGGAGAAACCTCATAAATGTAATGACTGTGGAAAAGCCTTTGGACAAAGTCACCTCATCATACACAGCGAATTCACACAGGGGAGAAACCTCATAAATGTAATGACTGTGGAAAAGCCTTTTTGTATAAGTTATACTCATATCAAAACGTTCACACAGGGCAGAAACCTTGTGAATCTAATAAGTGTGGAAAAGCCTATATCATATGTTATAATCATAGCTCATATCACACCACAGAATTCACGCCAGGAGAGACCTTTATGAATGCAATGACTGTAGAAAAGCCCTTGGCAATAAGTCACATCTCAGAATGCATCAGAAATGCACAGGAAGAGAAACCTTGGACATAATGACTTGGAAAGCTTTTCCCATAATTCAGCCCTCATTGCACATCTAATTCATATGGGGGAAACACTTCGGATATAATGCATATGGAAAAGCCTTTATCCATAAGTAACACCTCATAAAACATCAGAATTCACATGGGGGAGAAACCTTATGAATGGAATGAATGTTGGAAAACTCTGCTAAAATCACACAATATAACATCAGAGAATTTATTACATGGTGGAAATCTTGTAATAAATGTGGGAA